AAAGAAAAGAAAAAAATAATAGAAGTTTTGATGAAATATGATGATTAAATAGTATACTCTTGAATAATGAAATCACTAACAATAAAAATACAACCCATAGAGTGAGAAAAAATGCACTCAATTGTCCCTCAGACAAAGGACTTATATTTAAATCACATAAAAATTTGAAAAAAGATACAGATCCCCAAATTCAAAGACTTCATCCAAAAATAGGCATCTGAGATGAATACACACTTCATGGATACAATACAAATGGCAAACAAATGTATGGAAAAATGTTCAATATTATTGGTCATTTGAAAGATGCAAATTAAAACAACACTGAGATTTCACCTCTCCCCAAATGTATGGCTATCATTAGGAAATCAACCAATAATAAATATACAAGCTAGGATTAAAGGTCCAGTTCACCCCAGCTATTCCCATTCTGTGCATCTTCGCAGAAGAACTATAAACATCACACCGCAGCAATATTTGTGCATCCATATTTATAGAAGCACATTTTGTATTACCTAATAGCTAATTCTTTGAAATAACCTAAATGTCCATCAATTGATTAATGAATGAAAAGGTGGATTTTGAAATACAATTTATACAATGGAGTACTACTCATCCATGAAGAAGGATAAACTTCTAGGTTTGAATGCAACTTGGGACCATACTCATACAGGAAATAAATCAGATCCATATGTGTAAACATCGTATTGTGTCACTAGTGTGAAAAGTTTAACAAGTAAATAAGATCCAAAATGTACAACTGATATTGTGAATTGGGAAGAATCTACTCAAAAGCAAAGAGAAAGGTCCAGTCAAATAGCTCAGCAGATTAAAGTGCCTGCAAACAGGCACAGGGGCTGGGGGTTTGATCCCCGGGCCTGCTGCACACCACCCCCTGGCGGGGGGCGGCACACTGAGATGACAATTGAGACTGGGCATGGTGGCGCGCCTGTAGTGGCAGCTCTTGGGAGGCTGTAATCAGGCGATTACTATGAGTCCGATCTAGTAGTGAGGCCCTGAACACCCTGTAAACCCTTCCCTAAAAAAATAAATAAATAAAGCAAAGAGAAACTGGTGGATGAAAGAGAAAAGGGAATATATATATATATATATATATATATATATATATATATATATGTTATAAAACTAGTTATATAGTTAGAAAACTAGTTATACAGCTAGTTTTCCATAGTTCACTGAAAATACCCATCTCTAACAAAACTAAACAAAAAAAGGGGATACAAAGGAAGGACCATTTTGTATTTGTATATACAAAATAGTTAGGATAGATATACAGCTACTTTCTCTTAATTCAATGAGAAGAAAGATTTGTGCTAATAGTGTTTGGACAGGATATCCCGTCTGCATCTTGTACTATGGATAGCCACTAAGAAGATAACAATGCACAATGCATTAATTATTGAAACTGTCGTATTAATCAGTTTTGAAGCTGTCTCATTTCTGTTTCTCAATAAAATTAATAAAAAAATTATTGTAACTGTCCTACTAACCTGCTTTGCAACTGTCTCAATGCTATTTGTTTCTCAATAAAATTTAAAAAAAGAAAAGAAAATTGGTATTAATATTTTTAGACATTATTTCACGTCTGTATCTTGTACTCTGAGGAACTACTATGAAGATAACATTAGGCACTATATTAGTTATTGTTAC